AATCCTCGAAAAGGAACGCCCGGTGTGTGCAATGCGGAGGCGTTACCAGTACCAGTGAACTATTTCACAGCCTACCGACCCACTCTATGCTTAAGCCGGGGTCAGAGTGCTCATACACTGTACAAAAAACAGTCTGGAAACAGAAGTCACCGAAACATCCTCTGTGGTTCGAATGCCGCGAGCCCAAGTTTCTTCCTTAAACTCCTTGCCATGCGTTCATTCGAAGCACGGGTCTCGCGGTGACCCGCGTTGGAATCTGTATGCAGACTCTCCTGTACGATTTATATAAGCAGTGTGACCCTGGTTTTAGGGTTTTTGTAGCACCCGAGGGCTATAGCCTCCTCTGTACTGACAAAACCTGGCAGGTCGCCACAAGAAGTGGCCGCCGAAATTAAAAAGTGGAGTGGCAGACAACGGATGAGAGGAGAGCCACGTGACGGGCGTCCCGCTGCGGCGAGACGCCGAAACACACTTGTCCCGAGCGATGGAATGTTCTCTCGTGCTTTTCCCGTTCCTCGCGCTACCGCTTCTTGCCTCGTCGGGTTTGAAAACCATGTTTCGGGCAGTGCTTAAAGTCAGGGGAGTCTCGGGGAATCCCGGACCCCCAACGATTTCGACGAGGGGTCTGAGACCCCTCTGGGGAGTAGATCAAACCATCGAGCCCCTAGCGGCAAAGTTGAGAACTAAACTAATGGGTACAACATGAATTATTTGGGCGTGTATCTGATGCAGCCTTCCGCTGTGTCAGTCAAATGCTGGCACAGCCGAACGCGCTGCGGTCGACGTTTGGATGCATGTACATGTAATTAGTTTAAAGGCAATCTGCTTGTCAAAATCTGTCCTACAAACTCTCTCTCTCCCTCTCTCACCCCTCACCCCGTCCGCCGAGGATACCATAAGAGACACCCCCCTGCCACAGGTGGGAGACCTTAAGCCTTGGTTTCGGGTCCTCGCCGCTGCAAAAGCTGTGCGCTGACGTTCAGGTTCCGCGAGAAATGCTCTGTGTTATAATATCCTCGCGCTCCAAATCTGCGACCGTGCACTCAATGGCTACGTCGTTGAACGCGACGCCGATGCCCAACGACTTTGCCGTGACCTGTCGCAGCAGTCGCTGTGACGTACTGTGAATTAACACAATACTTCTTTTTTCTGTTAGTGATTGGTTTAGCCGGTGGTAGGAAATGCACAAAGATACACTTTTGGCGCAGCTGTACAACCAGTTGTGCTGCACTGGCTAGATTTCTCATCTACAGCTAAGCGACCGGTCACCCGTTGAGGCGTACCAACATCAGACCTGTATGAACATACAAAGCAGGCACGTAGCCAGAGGGGGGGGGGGTGCTCCTGCCCCCCCCCCCCCCCCCCGAAATCTTCCATTTTGCTGGGACCTCCTCCCCCCCCCCCCCCCCCCCCCCCCCCCCCAAAAAAAAAAAAATCCTGGCTACGTGCTAGATACAAAGCAAGCCAATTTTGCTAGTGTGTGTTCTCGAATGTGTTCGCGAGCGCTCTCGAGCGCTCTTCAGTTGATGTAAACCTGTCAATATGTATATAAACAGAGTTATACAAGACCTGCTCCCTGGGGCTTCCCGATTCCGGCTTCCAGATGAGGTCCTGCCCTGGCTCGGCTCCCTGCCGCACGCCAAGTGTGCGGACAACCCTCTCGGTCCCAATACACCAACTCAACTCTGTGACGTAACGGCGCGGTGGTGGCGCGTCCGTCGCACTTCCGGTCTGGGGTTGTGGGCAGAAGTCCCTATGCCAGACGTGTCTTCCTTCGTTGTTTTGAAAGGAACCAGACAAAAACCTGCCTTCTCGTCAAAACGCCGGGACTGGGGCCGTACCAAAAGAGTCGAGAAAGGTTTGAAGGTCAGTTTTCACGTGCTCGGTTCGTCCGAGAATCTGGATATGTGCCGTGAAAAGGGAAAAGCAGACGCCGTCGGACAACGATTGCTTGGGCGGGAAGCACTTTGGGTTGAATTCACGGATACTTGTGGTCATCAGATTTATTTGTTTTGTTCCAACATGAACGCCAGAAAACCATCAAGTTGTGCGGACCACCTGCGGACTACGTTCAGTGCGTCTTCAAGTTCAAACGGCCGCCTGATCGTTCGAATTGTCGTCTGCTCTTTCAAACGTTTCTGCTTGTCGTCTGCTCTTTCAAACGTTTCTGCTTGTATTCTGCTCTCTTAGACGACGCCGGCCCGTAGACCAAATGTTGGCCCGGTACTTGCTTTAAGAGCTAAGTGCAGACCTCAAAATACTTAAGTTTGAAGGTTGGTAAGGAGGCTCGATAACAGTAGATACAAGGAGATATTAATCATTGTTACCAGTGACCATCACTGACTTGCTATGCCTTATTGACTAGGTTCGATTATTCTTGCGATTTTCAGTATCTACGTCGACCATCTCAGCTACGGTTAACGCTTTTGCAGCCAAAGCGGCGTCGCGACTGAAGATTGCGAGCGAAATCTCATCATGCGAATCAGGCTTTAGCGTACATACTGCGGCGTCCACGCGGAATGAATCGCCACATGTCACATTATTCACGCCAAGTTTTGCGGTGTAACGAGCCTCGGTAATTTCGCTGACGCCGCTCAAGTAGTCGGACATCGCCAGGAAGACGTAGAATCAACAATTCGAACGCGAAAAAGAGCAGGGGGACTCACACCGACGCCGACAACATCGCTTTTCAAAGGTTAGTTTATGGGCGACGGCGAGCTTCTAGCCCACACCCCCATCGCGCATGCGCGGCTCCGGTGGCGTCCGCCAGGGGTGCTCGGGTTTGTTTGTAAACGTGAGTTGGTTTATTCGCGACTCCAGCGACCTATAGGGGGCGCCACCACCAAACAAACATGGCGGCTGAGTCCAGGTCGCGGCGGCTCGGCCGGGCCGCCTGAACAGGTGGCGCGTTCAATTTAACAGATTTTCTTTTGTTTAATGCCCAATTTTATAGGTATTTGAACTGAGACGGTTAAGTGTAGCCGGTGCAGATAAACTTGCAAAGCATAGTTTTGTTTTGCCGGTGTTTTTTTGTTCTTTTCGTGTCAAACTTTCGTTTCGGAGATTTCGTTCAAAACCGAAACTATCGGCTCCGGAGAGACGGTAATATACTAATCAGTTTTTATCATCTAAGGAAAGCGGCGATGACTACAGAATTGTTCCACAGAGAGTTATAACTTTTCAGTAACTCGCATGCCTCGACCATGCGACTTATCTGTCCGCGAAATCGAGCTTTTGTGCGTATCCGCGTTTACGAAACAGCTCCAGTCGTCTGCTCGGCCAACAATACAGGCTGCAGAAAAATTACGAAAATTAAGCAACCGCTTCTTGAGCCAAGGACCATGTTAACCCGCCGGCGCCCCACAAAGCAGCTGATACTCGTATTTCAATTCAGGTTTTAGTAGCAATCGAGAAGTCATTTTGACGAGCGGGTTATGCATTATATTACGTACTATGTCCCAGTAAAGCGATATTAGTTTATCCTTCGGGTTGAAATATGAGCTTAGTTGACTAGCTATTAGGTGAGCTGCTGAATAAAAGTATATTTGATAGACGGAGACATACTACTTAAACTTAGCGAAATGGTTCTATAGCCGGCAGCACGGAGACAAACTGAAGAGAGTTTTCATTGAAGATCCGCGCAGAACCTCTCTGCATTGAACTTTGCTTCGAATCCTGAACGGAGAAAATTTGTATTTTTTTTTTTGTGGCCGGTCAATCTGACCAATGTAGACGTATATTGCAGCTGGCTTCGACGTCCTCGTAATATAAATATTGGAGGCGCGATAGTTCAAAATGCCGTGACAGCATCTAACGTTGCGAGACTTGTCTCCCACCTTTTGAAAACAGATAATTTCCCTCATTCATCATTTGCAGCGAGCAAGTTTTCCTGAATCAAGTAATTGCGAAATCAGCCCAACTCCTTCAGTATGGTCCAGAGGCTTTTTCGGCGAAAAGCAGCCGAGATGAATAACCAACGCACCGACCGGCGTGGGTGGCTCAAACTTGAAGCTAACCGAACACAATCAAACTCAAGAAAAGCAGCTATCGAACCTTCCCATTCACTTGACTGCAACATTGATGTTCCCTCCAGTATCAGTTACCAAGTAGTCGTCACCTTGAATGTGATTCAAGACAGACAAGTTTTTCCGTGATTCCTCCCCATCTAAGAAATCGAAAGCACGCGACCGTGTGCTGTGGAGTAAGCGGGCTTTCAAACATGTAATAGAAGAAAACAATCTACTGAGGCTTCACCACACTAATGATCACTCAGGCAAACTAAAGAAATATTCGGACCTTCGTGAAATTACACTGTTCGCCACCGCGCCGACAACGCGTGTCCGCGAAAGCCACCAGAGACGCGGAGGGGCGCGGAGCGACCTGGACCGGCTGGTTCCCGGTTTTCCCGCTTGGCGGCGTCCGTTTTGCTGGAGTCGCGAATAGCGGGTACAAAAGGTGCTCCGCGTTGCGGTCCTGGGTCAGTCTCGCCCGAGTGCTCGATCCTGCTGTTTGGCCACCATCGACGCTGTGACGCTAGCCTTCTATGTTGTTTTCGGCACAAGTTCGCCCGATTAAACATTTAGTTTCCTTGATCTATTCGTCGCTTCATTGATTGTCATTCGTGACAATATCTACCAAGACGCCTTTAAATGCATTGAGCTGAATAATCCCTAATGGAAGGTAGTCTACAAAAAGTTAGAGCGCGGTGGTAAAGGCAGAGGTAAAATGTCAGACGTGCGATCCCCGACAGGCAGGAAATAAGTCACTTTCAGCGTCACCAGCAGCAATAATTTATAGCGTAAAAAAAAAGAAAAAAAAAAAGAATTCTTCGAATTTGCCGTTCGCGTTTTCTTTTACCAAGTATATGACTTTTTTCTACAAAAAAAAAAATTCTAGCTTTTTAGGTTCGATGGGATATCGTTCATTGTCAGGCAGGTAACTTTCTTGAGTGCTTCTCGTACTTCCGTGCACTTCAAAGGGGACAACAAAGCTACGAAACATCACTTTGAAAACAGTTTATTGGCACTTGTCAGAAGGCAAATTGTGTTGGTATCCAACGACATAGATGAAAAGGCACTGGGACATTATGTCAACTCAACAATTTTATCGACAGTAGACGCCTTCGCGAAACACACTCCGTAATGAACTTTCGTTGCTGCGCGGACTAATGTGTACAAACACTTCCAAGTTTAATAGCATAGACTTTTTTAGATCATTATTGTTACTTTTGTTTGCAAAAGTCGAAAACAATCCTCGTTAAGACGAGTTGCAGCAGCAAAATCTTTATACTCTGGAGCCTATATACACAATCAAGGCACTTCGTGGTGTGGGCCATCAACTTCGATACGAACAAAGAAGTTATGTTGAGCGTGAAACGCACTTTGTTTCCGACGGTGCACTTGCTTGCCGTCGATCATTAACAAACAAAACTGAGAGACTAAAAGCACACATAACGCAACTTTGCATCACAATCGCACATGCGCATTCGCACACACTCACACACATGCACAAGGGGATACAAACAGTGAGGTGATACAAGGTCCATAGACCTCTGTGCATTTACAGGTGCGTAAACGGTAAGGAAAACGAGAGATAAACCGAGGCTGTCGTGTAAATACATTTTTGTTTTTTGAGGCATAACATGAGATCCAAGCATTGAGTGCAGATAATTTTTTTTTTTTTTTAATATTCGTTTCACCTTACGATGAACACTAACGGACGCTACTGTTTATCGTGAGGTGTACGTGTCACGTGACCCGGGGCAAGTAGTAACGTGACACTTTCGCATTGCTCCTCTGCTGCAAATCGTAATGTGAAACAGAGTATAGCCGTTTTCAGCATTATCTAGCGTAACAGGAAGAGGAAAGGTTGCACTCAATTTAAATGCAGACCGCCCAGCTCGGGTTAAGATGCATTTAGGGGTTTCTCAGAATAAAATGATGCTACACTAAGCCGTACTTACATGGTATCATGCGTGCACCCGTATTTTGAGTGTTTCTACACTTTTTTTTTACGTGGTTCACATCTTTGTAACATTTAGGTTTTGTTTACTTCTTCAGTTGTCTATACTTTCTTATAGCTTCACGGAATTGGATTAAATAGTAAGATATTCAAAGTGATGAATATTGCCACACTACAGTGTGTTTGAATTGCCCTTATCTTATGTTCGGCGAGACATATCGCTTCTCACCTCGCCTAATAACTTTCGCCTACATCAAACAGCGTCGCCTTTCTCTTCACCCCTCTTTCTCCTTTATAGAAACAAGATTGCACGTAGAGAGCTTCGCTTATTCTGAACTATATACGCGGTGGTATTTCTTTGGAGAGTGAGATCACGATCGTCATAAGCTCGGAAGAAGCCATTCCTCTGTACAGTAGCTAACATGGCCAGCGCGGGCAGTGTTAAAGTAACAGTCTTTGATAAAAGCGACGTTCAAATCTCACCTTCTCTTCTCGACAGTCCGAATGCAGTGAGCGATGTTTGAAACTTCTGAGATTATGGTGCATCGTTTGGATTGAAAAAAGTAGAAAATGGTACTGTTGTATTGCTTCAAAATGCACACAAATCTTGAAACTTGTGCGCGCAAGCTTTCAAACCGGACTGTTCGTTTAGAAAGAAAAGAATAACTGCCATCGCCGAAATTCGCATGTCAAGAACTTAAAAACAATTTTCACTCAGTGCATATTATTCCTTGGCGCTAACTTCTGCGGGATAGTACTGATTGGTGCACTGTTGTAACTTCACGTCATAGCCGCATCTCCACATCACCGGTTTTTGTTTTCGCCATACCATCACTTGAGACGATGCATTTGCTCGATATTTCGGTAGCTTATCATTTAAACTTCCGGAAAACTTCAGAGAAATGTAAACTGTTTCTAAACAAATATCGGGAGCTAAGACACTTACAGGCAACTTGATCCAGCAACGCAAAAGAAGCAAAAGAGCGCGCTTGTGCAACTGTGATCGGCGCTGAACATGAGCGATCATTCGAACCTTCACAGCCTCAACCACGTTTCCACAGAAAATTGTCCCATAAGTGTAAAATAGTGGCACGGCGTCCCTTCAGACAAAAGCATCAACGACGTCATGGTCTCGCAGTAACAAATCGCACTCGGATAAAGTTTTACAGAGACGAAAACTGGGATCGGAAGGCACCCTTATTTCGAGCTAACTTATCTACCCCCCCCCCCCCCCTCTCCCAACCAACACGGGAGAGTGACAGACGACTCATCTACCGGGGTTCTCTTGCACTCTGAAGCACAAAGTCAAACACTGTGTTAAGCCAGACGTGACAACAGGATCTACCAAGGTCGCCACACGCTGTCGTCCCCTCTTTCCTGGGGCTCCCCTTCATGCTGCTGCTGAAGCTGAAGATGGTACTGCTGCTGTTGCTGCTGCTGTTGTCGTTGCTGCAGCTGAAATTCGTGCATCACCTCACGGAAGGGTCTCTGCGGAAGTTCCATCGGCGCACAACCCGCCGAAGAGGACTGCGGCTCCGAGGACAGGTCGCTTCCGGCGTCGCTTCCACCGGGACTGAGGGCGCTGCCGAAGCTGCTAGCGGGGCTGGGTGTCCTCGGCGGATGCGGAGACGTCGGCGTCGACGTGTTGGTCGGCGTCGGGGGTCCCCAGGAGGTACCCACCGCGGACACCGTCGGAAGCACGAACGCGAGGTCTCCGTTGGGCAGTCTGCTCGGAATCAGCGGTAGGCCTCCGAGTTGAAGTCGGCCCGGCGCCGAACCCGCCCGTCCTGCTCCGTTGTGGCCGCTGTTGCCGTTATTGTTGTTGTTCACGTCCCCCAGGCCCGGGATCTGGACGCTGAGCGGCGAGATGAGGAGCCCCGATCCGGCGCCCAGCGGGGACGCGGGGCCCGAGCCGCTGAGTCCGCTCACGCAGGTGGACAGGTGTCCCACGAGCCGCTGCCTCAGGTGCGGCTCCACACTCTCCAGCCTCGTCACGTAGCGGCTCACTTCAGTGGCGCACTCGGCGAAGCCCGCCCGGAACTTGCCCATCACGGCCGGGTCGGTGGCCAGGGCCGCTGCTCCGCACAGGGGAAGAGAGAAGGAAGGGATCGGTTAGGGGCGAAGAATCCCCTTGGCAAGCGGAAAGCTGCTCAGCCATGAGCCTACTTCCTCCAACTTGCAAGTGTCCCCCGCTTGAGATTTAGTTTACGCATTCTTTCTTTGTTCGGGAAGTCCATGGGCGCTGCTTTGCGTACGTTATTCTTGCCACTTCAAAGAAGGCAACGCCACCCAGCGGAAGAAACGGGAAGGAGGGAAGCGAGGAGCTACCGCGCATATCTAAGTGTGCGGCGAAAAATAGCGCAGCCTGGCGGCGAAGATGTGAAACAGAGGAACGGGGAGAGGAAGGCGGACTAAATACACATTGTTGGAGTTCTGAGTGGAAAGTAACAAGGGGAAATGGAATACCTCGCGTTTCCGTGTAAACTGGGGTATGGGGCGGTGTCCAGAGTCACTTTATGAGACTATGAACAGAGTGTTTCAAGTGGCATCACTCTTCCCCTATTGCCTTCTCTATTTTCAGGAAAGTAGATTTATCCACCAATTAATCGAGTGAATTCTTAATCACCGATTAATTTCTGAACCAGCTAATCGGTGAAACCTGAGCCCCTTTCTGGGGTTGTCATGGACGTAATATTTTTTGATGTCGAACGCGACGGTTAAGAAATTTATCCCGTACGAAACGTCACGTTCTTTCAAATAAAAGGGCGTGGAGCAAACAAGAAAACTCGCTGCTTTTGTCAAAATTTCAAAAGATAGGTGTTTGTTTACGCAGTTGGCACATTCAATCACGAGCAAATTATCGGTAAGAATGAATGCCACTTCTACGTGCTTGATATTTATCGAGGTCGCGAAGGGAACACCAATCATTGCAGCATAATTCATATTGACTCTATGTAAATCTTATCCGCGAATCTTCGCTCCGTATCTCCCTCTTTTTGAATATTCAAATAGTACCTCGTATTGACACCTTGATGTAAATAAAATAAGTGTACGTATGTATAAAGTGAAGTAATAGTGTTCAATGGGGGACGGCGTTTTGCGAAGATACACTTATACGTCGCAGTCAGCAGCAAAAATGATTCTCGGGTGTTTTTTTTTTTTTCAAATCCTGACATTTATCTGCCACCGTGTTCCCAGGGATTACGACTTTATGCAACTCTAGTCAGAAAGTAAAGAGGACACCTGGGCGTGATGAGTGCCAAGCTTCTTCTTACTGCATCTAAATGAGAGTACGGCGTGAGCCAGATAGGACGCTGACGTACGAATCACAAAGCAATAAGCATGGCCCCGCATGCGTTTGTTAGGCTGTCAGTGGCATATAGCATATGAGGCGCGTATGCGCTGACATTTTCCACTGACCGGTCATCTGCTGCCGCTGGACGTTCTGCAGGTGTCGCACCGTCATTTCCAAGATGTCCGCCTTTTCCAGTTTCGAATGTCGGGAAGGCTGCGAGCGTCAAAAACGAAATTGATGGTTGCACTTTTATTATCACGTCTTCGACTCAGTCCGATCACAAAAAATGTGCACCGCTTCAAAATAATGTCCTAAAAAAAAACGCCATTGGTTTTTTTTCGCTCTTTTTTTGTAAGCGAAACTTTTTTGCCTTACAACTACACATTGGTATTTACCCTTATGTACAGAAACATCGTATAATAAAAAAATAAAAAAAAACGGAGGGCCTGAAAAAACGTCAGACGTACCTTCGTGCAATTGATTTCTCTAATTTCTCGATAAATCAATCGCTTATTGGCAGTTCGATGCAAAATAAAACTGTTTTCAGCATCACCACATCGAGTCTCGTTCACGTTAAAGCCTAACGGACAATCGTGTACATGTGGATCTGACCCCTTTTACAGTAGCATCAAGGTCGCCGAGCCTGACCCACTCGGACTCTTACTATGATATTTTGTTATGGGACTCACGTCTTTGTTGAGAGCATCCAGGATGAGGGCCTTGAGTTCCGTGAGGCACTGGTTGATCCTGGCCCTCCGGCGCTTCTCCATGATGGGCTTGGTCGCCTGCACAAAGATCAGTCGGCCGGTCTTCAGGACGTGAGGCCACATTCGTCGCCATTGCACTATCACCATATTTATCGTGCGCAGTAGCTCTTTTATACGGAATAACAGACGTGCGAATGTTTTCAAGGCCCAGTGACCCGGCATTGTTGTCGGCCTAAGTGATAAGCGTTGTAAAGGTATATACGAGAAAGCAATGATATGCCGAACGAGCTTCCCAAAGGCAGCGTGAAAAGTGTTGATCACGCGGGCCGCGTGAGGTGAAGTGTTCGAGAGGTAAATTGTGCTCTTCGGTAAAGCGGAGACAGGGTAGTTATTGTTGTTGCCGTTGCTGCAGCTAAAGTTTTCTGACAAGACACTTTATTGATCATCGTGTTTATACTCCGAGGCTGCGAAGGAAACTTGAAGACATAGTAACAGCGACATAAAAAAGTGGACAGTCAGCACCTCAAACTCAAAGCTGGGTTTGAGATGAGACACTGTCTGTACAGTTTTTTCTGTCCCTTTTGATTTGTCTTCAAGTTTCCTTCGCAGTCTCGGGGTTTTAAACGTCATGCCTAATCCCCACGAGCTCGTCTGCACGCTGACCAATTTTTCAAACTATTGCCTCGGTTGTTTTTGCTTTTCATTGATTGAGAAGAGTTAATCATTCATGCCCGAAATTGAAAAAAAAAAAATTCGGACGTAGAAAAACAACTTTTAAGAGGAAGGCAAGAGAGATACGATGCGTGAATAGTAGGAGACTAGAGAGCAGACCTAATTACTTTTATAAAGGTGTCACTAACTGGAAGTATTGAAGAGAAGGTTAACTAGAGCTCTAAAATGTGTTCACGGGTTACTTCAACCAAAAACCTGGTTATAAAAGGTCTGGGCGCTTTGATTACCTAGACATTGAAAAAAATAGCGAAGCTATTTGTATGTTTGAACACTCCACACTCCAAACGTAAATATATTTTTTTGTTTCTCGTAAGATCGCATTGCGGAAAAAAATAAGCCTCTAACTGACGAACCTGTCACACAGAAGCATCTCGAATGTCTTCAACAAACGGATGAGATTCGCTTTGAATGCGATTTATATTGCGCCCCGCTGCAACCAACCATGAGTGAAAGCGGCATCTACGCAGAAAGGCCCGTTCACACTCTTGCGACCGAGTACGACTGAGAGAGACGAGATCTCTTACAACCTCTTAAATGTTTCTAGAATGAGGGAACACACTGACATTGTGGCGCCATCTATGCGGTGACCCTAGAACTGCATTTCACAAAAGCGAAGGTTTTGCGGGATTTCCGAGGTCAAATGTGCGTAATACCCACAGAAAGGCTCGTTTATAACATTGACAAAAGCTTTTCGAGCCAAAAAAGAAAGGATATTGCGCGAGAAATAAAACAAAATATGCCGGACCGCCGAGTTTACACTGCTTCCCAATAGATGGCGCCAGTGTGTTCTCTGGTTTAAGAAGTTTTAAGGAACCCAGGTTTAAGAGGTCGCAAGCAGTCGCAAGAGTGTGAACGGGCCTGAATGGTGTTTCTTGAATACTGTGTTCGTAATACTTCTTCACCCCCCCCCTTTTCCAAAAAAAAAAAATTAAAAAAATAATGAATTTTTGTTGGCGTAATGAACGTGGCATCGGAGAACACAGTACGTGTTTATCCAGAAAACTGTCCTTGAACGCTCATATCCATTTTCAATGTAGTGTATTTAGCGGCACGTGGCACGAGATGATTTGCTCTTCAGTGTGGAGCTGGAGCGGAAAGAAATGATGGCGAAGTAGATGCGCTTTAAAGAGCCTCCGTGAGTTCACTTCCCTGCAGAACGCAGAGGCGGCCAATCAGGACGAAGTATAGAAGGATCCTAGCGAATGACGTAGCTAAGAATACGATGACATCCGAGAAACCCGATGTGCGCCGCCCATACGTCCATGTACCAGAGTTCAAAAAAAAAAATTTGATTTTTTAGATTTTTTTTTATTTTGATCAGATTATAACTTGTTTTACATTACTGCAGCTAGAAGAAAGGTAATTATTTATCCCCAGATGTATTCCTAAACGTGGCAGATTGATTTCCCCGTCCATTAGATTATTTAAAACAAAGGGGGCGAAAGAACTGCTGTACATTTCAGTACACTTTAATGAACAAAGATTTTTTTAATGTAAATCCCGCTTCACTTGAGTAAAAGCAACTTGATGTTTTTTTTGTTTTTTTTTTTAGTTAGTGAAAAAAGCTTTAATATTATTATTTTACATTTTGATTTGCTCACAAAATGGCATTACTCACTTTATTTGCGTTACTTCTTGTCGCGTTATGATTTGCTGGCAATAGAAAAGAAAGCCTGTGTCTGATGAACGAAGTGGAAGATAGAAGGAGAGCTCAACGTTCCGATTTGCTCAGAAGAGCGCTATATATTTTGTCCGTAATGATCATTTGATTAGGATACAATACAAATGCACACAGAAAGCATCAAATGAGAGTCAAACTCGAAGTATTATAAATATTTTGGGAATTATTTGAGAGGGAAAGGCTCCATTTAAATCATCACTCTAAAACTCGTGTCATTGATATAAATAACTATTTAAATCGTTATTTAAATCGCAATTTACCTAATCTTGATTTTGGTTCTTAAGATCTTGTCGTATTCTGAGCTTTCGTTTTTCCCTGGGATTCAACTATTGTTCGAGGTGATTCGCTGTATCCGTGTTCTGCAGGAAAGCGAACACAGAAGCTTTTTTTTTTTTTTGAGTGCATTCCCATTCATGCATTTCTCGTGCTCCACTACCTTCCGACTTTCCCATTTTACCTTAGAGGAAAGCCAAGCTAAACATCTTCGGCTAAACTATTATTTTTTCCCTCGATCATTAAGTGAGTGATTGAAGCTGGCAAATTTTGCAAAGTGCGACGGGTGTCGCAGTCCAGGCACGTAGCAAGGATTTTGGTTCGGGGGGGGGGGGGGGGGGGGGGGGGGGGCCAAACGGGCCTTCCCCCTGACTATGTGCCTGTCGCAGTCTAAACCAGGGTGCGAACGAAACGCGCCTCTTCTAGGGATGCTCGGCACTGATGGGGATGAGATCCAGCTGTCGTGCAAATATAGCAATCAGCTAAACAGATGAGGGCAACAGCTACATGAATTATTTGTTTTGTGTTTTGATGTGCTTGTGTTAGACAAGTAAGGCACCAGTCAAACACGATTCGCGTCTGTGCCCCACACTCTATCGAGGAAGATGACGTGATTCTTCCAGTTCACATGCCATGTGCTGGGTAAACACCACGCTCTGCGGAAGAGAGGCTGAACCCCACTATAGTTCGATCTTCTCGCCCGTAGTCACCGACAGGGTGAGAACCACATAAGGTCTTTTTTGGGATGACCGGCCTGCAGCACGCGCTTGCTGTCTTCCACCGTGCTGCGCGTACACACTGGAGGCTCACATCGATCTGTTATCGAAGCTAGGAAGGTCGTGCTAGAGGTGAAACAACCGAAAACATTTTCTGGCATTCTCAATCCGTTAGTGGATGTGCAGGTACCGGAAGAAAATACGTCCCACGCGGTGTATGGACTATGGTAGACACGCTCAGCGTATATCCTATAGCCTCATGATCTATATGTTAAAAGTGCGAGCCTCATTATACACCTGTAATTCTTCCTCTTTTGCCCCCCTTTCTGCTTCCTTCTGCCCAGCTAGAAAACGGCATGGCGGATCTCCCCATTATCTCCCTCCCATAAAACTTTAAGATAAAAATAAAAAAAGCCAACTTTTTTTCGCATTGGGAAGGCAATTTGCGATTCCAACAGCGTGTGTTCAATCTCATTTTCTGCTTCACATTTCGGCCGCCAGGCCGCGACAGTATTGACCTCCACACACCCGGAGAGGTGGTAGCTCCCCGCTTCTCTACCTCGCGTCTTTTCCGTTGGGTGGCGTGGTGGCCTCTGAAATTGCGCATAAAACGGACGGGCACCCGCACCTCACACGCGTCGTGCATTGCACACGTTTCCCGACAACAGACATCCGCCGCTGCAACCGACGGAACGCAGCCCGGCGTCGACAGGGCGGCCGCCTTGGCCGCCTTTCAGAACGCCCTTTGGCACGCGCACAGCGCCGACACGTGCAGACCTCCCCGCCGCCGGGGGGCTGCGAGGGGGACAACGTCGCACGTGTCGCTCGTTGGGAGTCAAGCTCGCCGAGGCGCATCGAGCGATCTCGACTTTGTCTGGTACACACCCACAAACTTGTCAAGCGCTCGTTTTTCTTTTTTTTTGGTTTTTGTTATTTGGCAGCACCCGTGGCCTTGCTCTTGAGCGCGCATACCTTCTGCACCGTACATGGCTCGCTCGTGATGTCATCACCATGCTGGTGGTCGTACCTGCTTGTTCCTTCCGTGATAAACAAATTCGGTTATTCCAAATGTATCTTTTAGCAAGTACGCGCTCAGCACCAAAGACCATCGTAATGGCCACTGACGTGAGGACAGTGCGTACAATGTATACATTTCGAATATATATATATATATCTTTTTATGTTTTTTTTTTTTGTTTCTTTTTTAAAGAACCGGTAGGAATGACCACCAGCAAAGTTTGACGACTTCACGTGCAGGCCATGAATACTGTTCCACAGAACGGCTCCTGCCCGCTGCCGTTCTGGATGTTTGCGCTAGCTTGACTCACTTGCCGAAGTGGCAAGCTCGCACAACTACTAAATGCTCACATGTTGTTTTTTTTTTCCTCTCTTTTCTTTTTTTGATCAGTAGAATGCACGACGAAACGCAAAACGAGCGCTTGCTGAAAGCTGAGCATCCGAAAGAGACGCCCTGCTCTTCTTGTCCTGTCAGTCAGCTCCGCCTCCAGCGCGAGCTTTCCACCTTCCATGACACCTGGGTGTATCGTTACCACTCGCAGCCAAATCACGACGGAAGGCAACTAGTGTGTGCTGGAGACGAAGCTTCCCCTCACCACGCGCATCGTGCTTGCTTGCAACAGAAGTATCCTCCCTTTGGGTTGCGAGAAAACTCCACC